AAGACCCCATTTATGTAAGTTTCTAGAAAGTGCCAACTGGTATCTATAGCGGCTCAGGAGTTACAAGGTGGACTGGGGAGGAGGGGGAGGAAGGGATTACTGAGGGGTATGAGGAGACTTTGGGAAGCCAGGGACATGTTTATTACATTGACTGCAGTGATGGTTACGCTGGTGTCATTCATCTGCCAAAATGTCAAATTGTGCACTTTGTGTGCCATTTATTGCATGTTAATTTTACTTCAATAAAGGTGTAGAGCAAGAGAAATTCCTACTTACAATCAAAACAAAGAATAACTTTATCATCTGCAATGCCACCTGACATCCATTTTATTCCACTTCATTTAATTGAAAATACACCCTGGTCCATGATCCACTAGGTTGACTTCACAATTCACTAATGGGTGATACCTGTAGTCTGAACACACTGCTCTAAGATATATTTGGAAAGCTAAGGGTTGACATCCTAAGTGGTCTCTTAGTTACATGGACAAGTGCCAGTGAGGCAGTTTCTATGTCTTTACCATCAAACTTCATCTCCTTCTCTTTGGATGGTTGAGAAATCAGCGAGCTTTAACTTACATTGAAGTCCTGATCTTTCACATTCTTGAATTGGAGATGGAGACTCACCCTTTTGTCCACATCTTTCTGTTGATGTGTTTGGGAGATATGTTGGTTTTGCAATTTCACGAGGGAGATTTTTCTGTGGTGACTCGAGTCAGGAGGATCACTGATAGGAAAGTGAGGAACTGGGAGACAGGTAATGGAGAAATGAAAGACAGAGACCAGGCAGAGATGCACACAGAGTCTGTCAGAGCTGACAAATGAAGGCCATCTCTCCATAGATGGAGAGAGGCAAAACAGGCTTGGGGTTTGGAACTTTTATGGGGCAGGCTCAGGGGTGGGGCAGGCTCAGGATTAGAGCCGGGCGGGTCCTAATGCAGGTGGTGAAGGGTTGGGTTGGTGTGAGGGAGTGGTGAGCCTTTCTCAGAAACGCTCTTGGGTGAGAAAGAGAAATTTTTCTTAAAATGGCGGCTGTCACTTAAGATGGCTGTCCAGATGCTAAGCAAGGACTTTACAATCACCATGGGGAGTTGTCAGGGACCACCAAGGTGGCAGGTGGCAGCCACCTGATTGCTGACTGCATGGTTACTAAGGTAACCATGGCCTTTGGACTTTGCTAACCTGGGAGCTGTTGCTATTAGCGACATTTCCCCATAAAGAAAAGCAAGCTGGCTCCGGCAGTGAACCCATCTTTGCAACAATAACTTCTTAGTTTTCTAGGAGAATTTATTTTCAGTTGTTGTTTTCCTTTATTTGGTCCTGGGGATTGAACTCAGGGGCACTTAACCACTGAGCCACATCCCCAGCTCTTTTTTGTATTTTATTTAGAGACAGGGTCTCACTGAGTTACTTAGGGCCTCGCCATTGCTGAGGCTGGCTTTGAACTCGTGATCCTCCTGCCTCAGCCTCCTGAGCTGCTGGGATTACAGGTGTGTATCACGGCGCCCAGGAGTCATCATTGTTTTTTGCCCATGCATTGAAGACATGTGGAAAGAGAATTCTGCTTGTTAAATGTCCAGTACCTTAGCTTGGCTGACTATGTCTGTGTACCACAGGGCCCAGCAAAGAAGAGAAGAAAAAAAAAAAAAAAGTCACAGCGCTAGAGGAAGAAAGCAGAGAATAAATGATGAAAAAAAACCCAGGCTTGGGGTGGCCTCCATTCTGTTGTCAGTTAGTGTCCCTGCCTGCAACTCGGTGACTATGTGCCTAGTGGTTTCTTCAGTCACCCATCTATCTCTTCAGGTCATGGAAGTGTAAATTAGCAAATCAGATCCATTTTTTTTAATTCATAAATATTTTAATAAATTAACCTGGAACCAAAAGAAGGTGGAACTCAGGCAGAATGGAGTTACAGTTCTGTTCTTGGCTCTTTTTAAATAGTGGCTGAAGACCAGCAACGGAAGAGCTGCCGCTGCTCCCCACGACCTTGGCTTTCCCAGTGATCCCAGGACCAGTGGAGTGGACGCTCAAATCAAACCTCGAGGCACACTCGGGGGACACAGGCAGGATTGTAAGTGAGAGCTTGAATTTCTAGGTTTGGCAGAGTGGCCTAGGTCACAGTTGACTTCACTCTGAAAACCTTACATCTAGATTGGGCTCTGATAAGCAGCAGCCAGCAGTTGTGAATTCAGAAATTCTAAACAGTTTTGGGGAAGGGCAATCTGCATGTGTCGATACTATTGCTTCTGGGCAGATAGATTTCAGTACTGAGCTCACATCTTCTTTTTCTTTTTCTTTTTTGAGGGGTACCAGGGGCCCTCAACCACCGAGCCACATCCCCAGCCCTATTTTGTGTTTTATTTAGAGACAGGGTCTCACCAAGTTGCTTAGCTCCTCGTTCTTGCTGAGGCTGTCTTTGAACTCATGATCCTCCTGCCTCAGCCTCCAGAGTTGCTGTGATTACAGGCATGAGCCACAGCGCCTGACCTCACACCTCCTTTACTTAGGAGCTAAAGCATGAAAAATATTTTGGCCCGGTGTTAGGCAAACCTTGGTTTACATTCTATTTTTTTTTGTCAACCTTGTGACCTTGGGAAAGTTGCTTAACCTCTCTGAAGATTAGACTTCCCATTTAGAGAAGCAGTTCTCAACTGGGAGTGATTTTTGCTCCCTGGAGAACATTTGGTAGTATCTGGAGACATTTTTTATTGTCCTGATTTGAGGGTGAGGGTTGTTATTTGTATTTGGTGGGTGGAAGCCATGGAAGCTGCTGAACATCCCATAGTGCAAAAAGAGCCCCCTCAGGACAAAGAATCATCCAATCCAGCTGGGTGTGGTGGCATTCAACCATAATCCCAACAATTTGGGAGGCCGAGGCAGGAGGATCACGAGTTCAAAGTCAGCCTCAGCAACTTAGTGAGGCCCAAAGCAACTCAGCAAGACTCTGTCTCTGCATAAAATAGAAAAATAAAGGGCTGGAGATGTGGCTCAGTGGGTAAGTGCCCCTGGGTTCAATCCCTGGTACCAAAAAAAGAATCATCCGATCCAAAATGCTCGTCGAGCTGAAGCTGAGAAACCCTGGTTTAAGAGATAATGTATGCAAAGTGTCTGGCATAAATCAGGTAGGTGCTGAATCAATGGTGGGTCTCATTACCAAATGATCAGTTCGATGTGGCTGATTAAAAACAAGATGCTGGAAAACCAGGGGCTAACCCTAACTGTGTTAAGTTCACCAAAAGTCCCTAACAGCGGTACCTGCAGTCTGTTCAACAGTTAGCACAGGTCTAGCAAAGAAATTAAAAGTGCCTCGGTCCAAATCCCGGCTCTACCACTCACCACGCATGAATTCTTGGGCAAATCCTTTGACCTCAGCCAGCTTACCTGTGAAATGGGTATAACAGTGAAACCTGGCTCTTAGGAATGTGTTAGGATACAAAGGACCATTGTGCACTGACCAGCTGGTCCTCAATATGTGCAGTTATGACAGGGGAAGTAGTCATGCAGTAACCGCTGAGCGGGATGCTGATCTTAATAAGAAGCTATGAAGTTTCTGATGTGGAGTAAGAAGGGGAACACAAACCAAGAAGGAATGGGTAGCAACGGAGAGCACATGAAGCTGCTGAGGACCCGCGAAGAGCTCCCGGTCAGGTGTCTGTAAATATTATCTCATTGACTCCTCCCCACCATCTCTTCGAGGTGGCTTTTATGAACCTACTTTAGTCTCATTTTACAGATTGAGAAGTAAGCTCACAGCACTTCAAATAACTTGCCTTGGCTACACAGCCAGTAAGTGGCAGAGTCGGGCTTTCGGGTCCTGGTGACTCCAGCCTGAGTTCTCACGGGCTGAAACTCAGGGTGAATTCCCAAAGAACAAAACATTCAACTATTGGGGAGTTTTCTACATTTAAGAAAGGGAAAAACGATTTTAAACCCAAGTCTCTGTGTCTTGACTGGGACAAACAGCCTGGGGTAGGTGGAGGTGAGACGTGGGAGCAGGATAAACAGACAGGAGCAGCCCTTGCTGTGGTCCAAAGACAGCTGCTGGATCCAAGGACGTCACCCTGCGGTGCCATGGCAGCACAAGGCCACTCACAAAGAACATTTCTGGGTAATGTCTAACGCCTGCTGGCCTAAGAGAAGGGCTGTTGACTTTTAGGTTACTCAGTATTGGTTCTTCTGCTCCATGAGGATAGATCTTCTAGAAAGTTCCTGTGGTACCCCTCACCCATACCAAATGTTTCATGAAGCTATTTGTGTGTGTTTGTGTGTGTGTGTGTGTGTGTGTGCGCACAAGGGTGTGGATGGCAAGATGGGACCATAATAGCCTGGGACCGAGGAGCCAAAGGAGCCAGGAAAAAGCCTTAGGCTGATGGTGTCACTTTCTCTAATCAAACAGCTCTGTTCAGACAAGGTTGGGAATGGTGCCCAAAACGGCCAGGAGGTCTGAACGAACCCAGGAGAGCTCTGTGGAGAGAGGGTGTCCACCAGTGCTCAGGTCTGGGGCTGTGAGAAGATGCTGCTGCCCGCATCTCTGGTTTTCCTGAGGGTCCCCCTTCACCCCAGCAGGCGTCAGAGGGCATCACCCAGGGCTCACATTGGGACAGCATCTGGGACGACCTCCCCAGCCACCCGCCCACCCGCCATCTACCTTGGGCTCTTGCATTGTTTAGTTTTGCTGCTTATTGCACAGAATTATGGGTCTTTGAGGTCTTCTTGGGACCCATGTGCCCCACTCGGCCACCAGAGACTGCAGAAGAGCCACAAGGCCCCAGAGTCACTGTTTGCCCCGTGTGTTCTGTGGCAGGCCCTGTTCTTCTCAGGCAGAGATGCTCTCGCAAGGGCTGGGGCTGCGGCTCAGCGGTAGAGCGCTTGCCTAGCATGTGTAGGGCACTGGGTTCAAGTCTCAGCACCACATATAAATAAATAAAATAAAGATCCATCAACAACTAAAAAAAAATAAAAAAAGATTAAAAAAGAAATGCTCTCGCAAGTTCACTTACCCGGTTGTTTAAATATAGGAAAGGAAACAGATGCCGGCTGGGGCGGAAGTCTCTGAGGAGAGCAGGCTTTGGGCAGGGGCTTGCCTAGGCTGATAAGAGCTTGGGGTAGGCTCCAAGTGCAGCGGCTGCTGATTGCCTTGAGGCCCTTCTGACATTGTCCTAAGCCAAGCCATCCCCAGCAGAACTTGGCTCCTCTGCAAGCTCCTCCTCGTGATTGACAGGGAGGGGGTTATTTTTAAGCTGATCTTTGTGACTTCCTTTTGGCTCCCCTCCCACTCCCCTTTCTCAAATGCCCTGAGAGCAACTTCCTCCGTAGGCCAATTCCAGCAGAGGCACAGTCTGTCCAGCCCCGGGGAGGACAGGCTGCCTGCATATGGACAGCAGGGGCATGACTGAGGAGAGGACCCAGGGCACTGTCCTGACAGGTAGTGCTCAAACTCTATGACATGAGAGGACTGTGCAGAGGACTCCCAGCCTCAGGCCCAGGTCCTGGCCTCAGAGTGGGGGGACAGCCAAACCGGTCACTCAAGTGGCCCAACCTGCAGCATCAAGATTAATGGTGGAATGCCACTGTGGCGTCACCCAGCCGACCCTCCAGGGAGCTCCCCTTTCTGGACTCAGGCTATGCTGACTCCTAGGCTCTGCAGGGACACCCTCCCTCTGGCGTCCCTAGGCTGGCGGAGTTCCGGGGGAGCGTGTCCGGCCGGGTGCACCACCAGCATCCTCAAATTGTGTCTCAGATGAATCACAGCGACAGCCCCACTGCCTCCACCCACCGCGGTAGAGCAGGGGAGATGAGTTGACGCCACTGTGACTTCTGAGACTGCCCAGGCAACGAGCCCCTGTTCAGAGGCTTTCTCAGCACTCCGCGTGGCCGCCTCTGCCTTCCTCTGGTTCTCAGCCCACAGGGGAGTGTCCCAAATGCAGCTGGAGGCAATGATTGCCTGGGACAGCCAGTGCCCATGGCCTTTGGCATAAGGGACAGTTAGCTTCTGGCAGAGAACTCCTCTTTTGTTATCGCTAGAAGGAGACCAACAGAGTCCCCACGGTGGGAACAGGAAGCCCCCAAATCTCCCCATCTCCTAGGTTTCTCTCTGGCTCATCAGACAAGCAGGGCTGAGGCCCAGCAGGGTACAGATGAGGAAACTGGTGCTTCCTGTCCAAGGCACGAGGAACCCAGGCTGACTGCTTAGCAGGTGGGAGTCCTGGTTGAGTGGTCCCTGTGAAACCAGGCAGGAACAGACCGTCTATGTCCCCTCCACAGGAAACATCCATGTGATGCTCAGAAAATTCTGGCCATGTTTGAGTCTGGATCAAGAAGTAGGTTTCACTCTAGCGATTCCCTCCATCAGAGAAGAGCTCTCAGCTGCTTTCCGTTGAATTTGAAATTCTAAACTCTCACCCTCTGGTATGCATCTGCAGAAAAGAGCAAAACCCAGCCCTCAAGGTTGCAGTTGGATTACACGAGCTGCTCCCCAGTAACACAGCAGTCGTTAACATACAGTGAGTGCCCAACATCAAGGCTGGCTCTGCCCCGGGCCGGCAGCGCAATGTCGGGTCAGGCAAGCTACTTACTTAGCCTTGCTTATTGTCAGTTTCCTTACCTGCAAAAAACAGATGTCATGAAAACCATAAGGTATATCCTAGGGCTGCACCAAGGATCCACGGAGAGTCTGAGGTAGGTTAGATGACGTGCAGCATTGTGTCAGGCCCAGAGAGCCAGGAGAGTGGAATGTTCTTAGCATGCCCTTAGCATGTCTCAAGCATGGCACCTGACTTTGAGAAAGGCATGACTTCTCTTAGCATGACTTTTAAGGGAGGTAGCCTAGGAAAATACGAGTGTGTGCACACACTGTCTTTTTTCACACACACACACACACACACACACACACACACACACGGGGTAGGGCTGGTGCTGGGCAGGAGTTCAGATTTTGCTTCTTTGTTACTACATCTGTTCCTCTTTGTTGTCACCTGTTAAAAGAGGAGTCAGACTTTGTTTTCTAAGATCTCTTTCAGCTTTACCGCACAGAGTTGCACATCTAAAATGATATTAATTTATTTAGGTACTAGGAATTGAACCCAGAGCCTTGTGGATGCCAGGCAAGCGCCCTACCATTGAGTTACACCCCCAGTCTTTTTTTTTCTTTTTGTTTTTTATTTTTTTGTCATGCTGGGGATTGAACCCAGGGCCTTGCACAAGCTAAGCAAGTGCTCTACCACTGAGCTATATCTGCACCCCTCCTTTTTATTTTTTATGTTGAGAGAGGATCTCTCTAAATGTGATCTTCCTGCCTCAGTCTCCCAAGTTGCTGGGATTACAGGCATACACCACTGCATCTGGTTAAAAGGATATCTATAAAAAGAACTGCACGACTCCTTTCATTTGATTAAGACGTAATAAAGAGCTCCAGCAAGTCAAAGGAGGCGACGGTTGTGAGGACCTGACTGGTTGCCTTGCTTCACCCTGTACTGCCCTCCCTGGGGTTCTCTGACCTTCCTCCCACAGCCCCTTCCAGCAGCTCCCCTGAACCCCCCCACCCCTGCCAGCGGCTGCCCTTGCCTCCCTGCAGATGTTTCCAGTTTGCAGATGCCATGGAGTTCACGTTGGTCACTTGTTCCATTTGCTCAGAAACAACAGCCAGCATTATTGGCAGGAAATGGAGAGAGTGCCAACTCCAGGATGACACAAAAAGCCCTAGTCATGGGCACTGGTGGGGGTGGAGGTGGGAGTTGGGAGGGCTTATAGGCTGGGCCATCTGCAGGGACTTAGAGTTTTGTTGCCCTCGTTGAAGTCATGGTCACTGAAGCGGCGTCTGTCTAGATTTCCTCTGGGAATGACCAGAGCAGGTCAGTTGACTCATCTTGGAGGGACAAGGTCGAAATGAGATGCTATCTTGGAGGCCTGGGAGTGACTGGAGAGCCTGGCTTCATGTCCCAGCCCTGAGGCTAAAGTCTCAACTCAGAGCAAATTCTAGTCCCTTTTGAGAGAGAGAATTTTTTTTTTTAATATTTATTTTTTAGTTTTTGGCGGACACAACATCTTTGTATGTGGTGCTGAGGATCGAACCCGGGCCACATGCGTGCCAGGCGAGCGCGCTACCGCTTGAGCCACATCCCCAGCCCTCTAGTCCCTTTTGAAATCAGAATCGATGCTGGGGTTAATGAAAGATTAGAGGATATTTTGTTATTTAGGGTCAAGAGCAAATAGTTATATATATATATATATATATATTTGCATTATATATATATAATGCAAACTAAATTACAGGCCGCATATGCCCCGTGTCTGTCATGCAGCTGTTTTGGTAGGACGTGGCTGGAATATCCCCCTGTTATTCAGTAACCTTCACACTCTGCACAGGAGGTGGCCCCTTTACAGCAGTGAATGGTGCCGAGTGATCTGCCAGGCCCTTCAGAATGAATGACACGTGAGAAACGGAAACTATGATTATTGCTCTGAATAATCTGACTCTTGAGATCCGGCCCTGAGAGGTTCATCTGCAGAGACTGAGGGGGCCCACGCAGCCCTTGGGGGCTGGTGGCATCGCAGTCTATGTGCTGGGAAGCGGCAGTGTCAGACTCAAATGTGCCTCTCCACCGGGCTCACAAAGGAGTTGGAGGAGGGGATGCTGGAGAGTCAGCCCAACGCCTTGTCACGCTGAGGAGCCACCGACTTCCTGGCAAGTGTGTGGAGAAAGGAAGTCGTCACTGCCTCCCCAGGACCTCCTCTGGACACATCCTGTGTCTGAAGCCAGGTGCACACTGGGGGACTTAAAACAGTAAAAGAGCCCCTCCAGCAAGAGACTGGAGAGTCGGCCCTGAAGAGACCCTGGGTCTAGGGAACAAGCACATCATTGTGGGTTCCCAAAAAGCCTGTAGCTCAGGGTTTAGGAAAGAGTAAGGGGAAGATTTTCCTTTAGTTCGGCATCTGCGCTGCCCAGCACCTGGTAGGTGGAGCATTTACTGGGCACCTGAGAGGCCCTGATGGTGAACTACAGACTCATGTTCTGGTACCAGTCTGAGGTGGTGCTGTGTGGAGAGACCGTGTCCTGTGCAGGCCACAGTCCCTACAGGAGTCCCTTCTCATTCACCAGAGGGGAAATGAAGACACAGGGAGATTAAGCAATGTGGCCAAGGTTATTAATTTGGAAACAGACATCAAAACAAGAAAGATGCATCAGGTGCTGTGGCACACACCTGTAACCCCAGCTCGAGGCAGGAGGATCGCAAGTTCGAGGCTGGCCTCAACAACTTAGTGAGACCCTGATTCAAATCAAAACTAAAAAGGGCTGGGGGTGTGGCTCATTGGTAGACCTTCCCTGGATTCGATTCCCAACCAAGCAAAACAAAGCAACAAAAAGATGTTCTGAGACATAAGGATGGAGTCTGACAGCAATTTCTCCTCTGGAGTATATCAGGGTGAGAGCAAAGTGGGACAGGCCTGACAACCAAAGGAAGAGGCACCGTTTGCAGGCTGGGCAGGCTGAATCAGCAGCTGCTAGCATCTTGCTGTAGCTGGATATGTGTTGGCACAACTCCAGGTGGGGTAGGTCTGGAAAGGCATTGCCAATGTAGGGTGATGTCACTGATTAGCACCCACTACTGCACCCATTAGCATACAGTGACAGGCAGACTGGCCGAGGAGCAAGTGCCATGAGGTAGAGGGAAGGGCTGTGTACTTGGTTGGTGGGACCCAGGTTGTTCAAGCTGGGGATTCAGAGATGGGGACCAGAGTGAGAAAGGAGCAGTGAAGGGGCTGGTGAGCCAAGAAACCTGGCTGCAGCTTCCAGTTTTGACAGTGAACTAGCCACTTTGGGTGTCCTTTTCCTCCGGTGGCCCATCCCACTCCATATCCCTGGTGTCCTAAAAACCTCACCTTGGGGAAAGGGGCATGTCAGGCTAAGCAGCCCACTAGGGTCAGCGGGGCTCTCGGTCTTTTAGACAGAGCATCAATGAGACAAGCAAGAGAGAAGAGCAAAGACCATAGGAGTTCTGACTGCAAAAGGTGAAGCACAAGAAACATCATCGAGAGTGGGCCTGCTCCAGGACTGCCTGTGGGAGGGGGAGGCGTTTCCGATAGATCACAGGAAGGAGAGAAGGAAACAGGCTGTGGTAGGTAAAAATGCGGAAATCACAAACTGCCATGCAAATGTTAGACATTCTCCCTGAGGGTCCCTTTAACTAGACCCAAATAGGTCACATGATGTTTTCTGCCTGTACTGGTTTGGAACTGAAATTAAAAGACAAAGAAACATGTTAGTGCAGAGGAAGAGGTCTTTCTGTATTCCTCCTGAGTCCTTATTGAGCATAGAGAGGTCTGAGTAGCATTGTCCCAGGTAGGAAGGAGACACACCTGAGAGTAATACATTGTATACATTCAACTACAAGTAATCGCAGGTCTCCTCGGTGTCAGGTACTAGATCAAGCTCTTGGTGTTTTTAGGATAAAGGGAGTGGGAGGGAGATAGAAAGATGAACAAGGCATACTTGTAAGAGGGAGATGCAGTCATGTAAATAAATAACTCCAAAAATAATGTACAAGTGCTCACATCCCGGAGGAATGTGATCCCATTCCAAGGAGGGAGCTTGGTGTTGACTTTGATCCTCTGTGAATGGGGTGCCTGTAAGAGCAATGAATTCTACCTGGGGGAATCATAACATTCTGTTCCATACGGCACCATCTCTAAAGGACTGTTTCCTAGACATTGCTAGACACTGGTACCCCAAGTGCTGCATCGAGACCCTTCCTTAAATACTCAAAATGAGATATCTCAAAATGAGATATCATTTTCCCTCCCCTTTGACCCAAACTGAGAATATAAAATGTGATCATGGATCACTAATGGGAGAAAAAAAAAAAAAATCCTCACCAAGAATGGGACTGACAAGAATCCCCATGTGACAGACTGGAGCCACCGACCAGCAGACATGCTGGAAACAGGTGCTAGGGCTCCTCCTGATGTTAGTTCTAAGTACTTACTAGACACCTCACATAGTTCCGAAAAGGATGTGGAGCCACTCATAATAAAAGAACAGGCAGGACAGAATCGCTAGAAGACTTGGAGCCAAGGGATGAGACAGGATATCCAGATTGCCCAGGAAGCATATGCAAAGCATGGTCACTGACACCAAGCCCCGCTCTGGACATCCCAGTTTCCCAAGCAAAAATGAATAGTTGAGTGCGATGGTGCTTTCCTGTAATCCCTGTGACTCAGGAGGCTGAGGAAAGAGGGTCCCAAGTTCAAAGCCAGCCTGGACACACCCCCAGATCCTTAAAGAACCAAAATTTTTTTGAGACAGTGTCCTATCTCAGAGGTTAGGGCACCTCTGGTTTCAATGCCTGGGACCAGAAAAAATTCTTTATACAAAGCTCTTTCACTAACTAGATGAACAAAACCAGACTGATTCATTAGC